TGTAGCTCAGGTGGGTGATTTATAATGATTAATAAACTCGTGGAGAAATCTAAAAGCTCACTTCAAATTGAAGTATCCGCTGAAGATTTCACCCAGTAAGGTGATGAAAGCTTCGCGAACTAACCATCCAGCTCAGAAAACAAAACCACATCAAAATAAATAGGATTGTACAGCAGCCTTTGAAGACGATTTCGTCGATAAAGAAAATTTTCTACGCTGAATCTGTCTTTTATTTTCTCCAATTGAAATCTTCAGTTATTTAAAGAACCACATAAAACTGGTTGATAATTTTAGCAAGAGGCTTTCGAGAAAGGAAGTAGATATTTTTTTGAACTGTGGAAACTGTGTACAGTGTTTTCTGAGGTAGAACATTTCCATGCTCATTCTGAGCTAGAAATCATCTAGTGTAATGTAATGCGAGAATTTAAAGAAAATGGAGTTTCAATTTATATGCTGTCTGGTTTGAAATTGAGCGTAGAATAATTTAGACAGAAGTAGGATCACCGGAATCTGAAAGAGTTCAAATCAACCATTCTATATGGAAAGGAGACTTAAGTCAATGCAAAAACTGGCGTGGACTTATGTTCCTGTCCATCCCAAGCAAAATACTAAGCCGCATCATACTGGAGAGAATCAAACATGTCAGCCTGGATGAAAAACTTCGACCGGAACAAGCTGGATTCAGGGGAAATAAGTCACGTATTGATCAAATCGCCACACTACGGATCATCATTGAACAATGTTTGGAGTGGCAGTCACCTCTCCACCTCACTCAACTTCATTGACTTTGAAAAGGCCTTTGACAGCTTCGATCGAGAGGTGATTTGTCAACTTTTTCACTACTGCCAAGGGGTGCCACCGACAATAGTACATCTCATCCAACAGTTTTACGACAATGCTACATGCCAGGTAGTCCACAACGGGAAACTCACGGAGGCCTTCGAAGTTAGGACGGAAGTGAGACAAGGCTGTCTACTATCACCAACGATTTTCCTGATTGTAGTAGACTGGATAATGAGACAGACAAAGGGCAGTGAGGAAACAGGCATACGATGGACTCACACAAAAAGAGACTTGGAGGATACATGTCTGATTTCCAACAAACTGGAAGATATACAAGTGAAAAGCAACAAGTCGGCGATAGAAGAAGCATCAAAGATAGGACATCACTTCAGGTGAACATAGATGCAACAGAGGTGATGAAGATTCCTGGCCAACACCAACAGCAACAACAACAGACAACAATCAGTCAGCCAGCATAAATGGAAGGAGCCTGAAAGAAACAACCTCCTTCACCTACCCACCTACCTGGGAAGCATCGTTTCAACTACAGGCCAGCGGAACTGACGAGGATATCAAAGCAGCGAGGATGGGGAAAGCAAGACAAGCTTTCATTACTCTCAAGTCTGTGTGGGGGTCAACAGCACTCAACATGAAAATGAAAATAAGATCCGGATTTTCAACTCCAATGTGAATTCAGTGATACTTACCACACGGATCAGAGACTTGGCCAGCGCGTTAAAAAGAGCATCTTAAACAAACTACAGACCTTCATCATTAGCTGTCTTCGCTCAATACTTCGCTCAAGATCAGATGGCTAGCCAGAAATGATCAACAACAGGAAGGGATCTCTGGCAATGAACGAACCTACCAGGAACCGATTGTGAAACAATTAGACAGGAAGAAATGGAGGTAGATTGGCTGACCATACTCTGAGGAAACCATCAAGTGACATCACTAGACAAGCCATAGCTCGAGTATAACCCGACTGAATAGGAATCGGCGAGTTGGTCGTCCGTGTGAGGGTGACTTGGAGGAGGTCATGTGAGGAGGAGATGAAAGCATGTTGATAGACTTGGAGCCAGGTGAACACTCTAACAGATAACCGAACGCAATGGAGACGGGTGGCTGAAGCCCTATGTTTCTCTAGGAATTAAAGGAAATAATAATATAATAGTAAATGCTCGCAAGAATTGAAGTTCCTATTGACAATAATGTCAGTTATCTGAGTCACAGGTACACCACTAACCCTGACTACTGACAGCCTTCAATGTTCTACTTAACATGACAAAGTCTTATTTTGAGAAATCCAGGGAAGAATAATGGCGAATGATGACGGGAAATGGACAGAATACATGAATTAATAAATTGTTGGAGAAGAGGTTGAGTTATGCTAACAGAAAGTCCCAACTTCTTTATGTAATAAGACAAAGGAAAAATCTTCTTAGAAATCTACAGGATATGAAACGACCAACAGAGATGTGAAGAGAAACTGATGCAGAGATGAGAGATATTCCATTTACTCCGTATGACAGTGCCGTCAATACTACAGGAATCATGGGACTGAATTAGCAGTTCATGCAATTCTTTCTCGCATCTGAAGCTAAACTCAGCAATGGAATATTTAGATGGATTTAGTTTGAGATCATTCATGTGAGAACACTTGTTAACTTCAGATATGAATCTATTCATCATATAAGAAAAATAGAATGCAGAAACTTCTGGAACAGAAGTGTAAATAAGACTGTTTCACTGTGTAATATATCCAGGGGTAAAAAATCGAATATGGATGGACTTCAAGTGAACAACGGTGGTAAAGTTTTATGGATATATATATTTAGTGAGACATTCTGCGGCATTCAGATGTCATATATCCATGTAATGAGCATTACTGATTACTAAGAATGTTCATTATAGGTTCTTTTGTATTTCCCAATGAATGAAAAAGGGCAAAACGATATTGTTGTGTTTCACTGACGTTTCGCTATTTAATGCTGCTGCTAATAGCTTTATCAAAGTATTATCAAACCGAAATTTACAAAATCTCAGCATACATAAATAACAAAAAGTTAGGGGTTAGAGAAAAATAGACTTAGGTCAAGTTTAAAGGACATATTGGCAATCAGAATACTAATGAAGATCACTAAACCAAATAACAAAGGTAATAGTACATCTGTTATGATATCAAAACAAAGTTTACTAACTTGATATTTGGTTTAGTGATCTTCATTGTTATTTTGACTTTCAATATGTCCTTTTAAGTTGACTTAAGTCCATTTTTCTCACCCCCTAACTTTTTGTTATAGATATGCTCAGATTTTGTAAATTCCGGTTTAATAATACTTTGGGAATCATCGGCAGTACGCACCACTGGGTTCGTGCTAAATCACGAACTGGTAGAAGTTAGAATTCATGAGCCATTGAATCGGATCCCAGTGGCTGAATGGTATACGAGCTTGCCTTGTAATAATACTTTGATAAAGCTAATAGCAGCAGCATTAAATAGCGAAACGTCAGTAAAAACAATGTCGTTTTGTTTTTCATTCGTTCATTGGGAAATACAAAAACCTTTATTATAATGAGTACCATATACCCAATGCCCAAATTTTTTCAAACCGTTAAAAATGAACTTGGTTTGGACATATATTACTAAGAATGTTGTCATACTACTCATAGAAGTGAGTAGTATATATCGTTCATTCATCAAAAATTCAGTTGAAAAAATTTCTAAAAAACAGCCTTAAATTACAGAACTAGTAAAATACTGTAGGATAGGATTAGCAAACAGAAGTACACTAACTTGTAACATTAAAATTCTACTCTAAAGAAACGAGAAAGGTCACAGCGTCGTACAAACTTCTGAGTAGGGGGAAAAGATGATTGATATCAAAGTGAGAACTAGAATAGGTTTACGAGGGGGAAGGTGGGTTTATATCAGGAAAATATGACTGGTAGATGTAACGCAGAAGATATAGTATTTCACACAGCAATGTCAACTTTATGAAAAGGAAATACAAAGTCACTATATTGTGACAAAACAAAAAATTGATAGCAGAAAATATCTCCACGAATTTGACACATGGATGGAACCTACAGATTTATGTAGAAATAGACTGTTTTGGCAAGATCATCCCGCAAAGCATGGCTATAATTTCTCTGGATCCGGGATTAATCAACAGCTGACATCCGTTAGAGAACCACTGGAAAACCAGAAAGTATTAGACATTTGTTTCGTCCTCGTTTGGGACTGTTCGTCAGTAGATACTCTCCGAGACGCAGAACATCGGGTAAAAGGTGAGGTCGTAGACGATTTAGTCACTGGGACCCGTTGCAGCATTCTATGAATTCTAGCTTTTGCGAGTTCACGTTATATAGCGCTACCAGCAGCCACTATAATCGACGAATAACTTTGACCGGCGGGATTCACAAAGTTAGGTAACTAGAATGTTATTTACTTATGACATTGGTTTGGAGTTGCGCTATATATCGTAAATTGGCGGAAGTTGAAATTTATGGACCATTTGATCGTCTACAACCTCGCCTTGTAACCTGAAGGCAGTGGGTTCAAACTCAGGTGGATGAATAATGCTGCACAGTTCTAAACTAGGACGCAACAACTCTCCAGTACTACCTGGTTTTCTAATGGTTCTCTAACTAATGTCAGCTCACGATCAAATCTGTAACCAATCAGATCCGTGTAAGCTAATATTTGATGATCACTCTAGACCCGCTTGAAAAAACTGGAGACCTGAAAATAATATTCAGGATACAAATTAACAGCTGTTGACTGCTGTTCATTGTGTTCTCAAAAGGCTGATACATTTTTTTTGAATGATGTTATTTGTGTCAGTATAAACTTTCAGTTGGTGTAAGGTGGTTAGAGGCATCTGCAAGAAGCCTTGTACTTAGGTCTCGTACTTGCTGGTACTCATTTGGAAGGTGTATCAGCAGACTCAAAGGAATTACTGTCCCTTTGGAGATGGCGATTTCTGTTTTTAATTCCATCCTAAGAATCACAAAATTTCACTCAAGCTGTTATTTCGCTGAATATGAAAAAGAATTTTGTCAATATTCGTTGACACCTTCTTTCTTCAAGTCTTTTAGCTATAAAGATTTCAACCTTAAGTGATTCTATAATGATACTTGCAGATATGTCGGCTAACGGATTGTCAACATTTAATGTCCTTAATATTTCTCTTGAATTTTCACTATTTTCTTAGCTTTGATGATGGCTGTCGTGATTGTATTTGTAAAAATGATGGAGCATACTGCAAAACCAAAGCATGTGTCGATTACCAGGATATCAATACGAATCCTGAAGAATACTGCAGTACAGTAGTTGAAAAGGTAATTTCATTTTTATATGATTAATTTATTCCAATATGCAATGAATTTATTCCTTCTTTTTGACATACTAATTGGAGAATGTCTACTAATAGTGGAATTTAGGACGCGTGTTTTGTCCTGTTTGAGGTTCTTCAAATTGGATGTAAATGCGACCATAATGAATGGTAGCATTCCCACTGGATCTCAAAGGTGATACCCATGGTATGAAGCACTAAAATATTGTCTGACGGTGAGTAATAGGCTGAAATATCCAGGGGAACACCATAACTTCTGGATCCCTCTGCTAACCACTGCCGACCAAATGACATCATGTTAACCTTACAGCATCGTTAAAGTGTGAGCTGATATATCGACAGACACCTGACATTTTTTTTCCTTCACTTTCCCCAGTGGAACATAGGACTTCAAGCTCGTGGCTTGAAGTTTCTGTAGCAGTGTTTAACTTTTACAGGATGGGGTTGCTAGCCTCATGCCCAACATTTCCTCTTTAACAGCATTATTTCTGGCTTAGCGAGGTAAAGGAGTGCATCGGCCGGGGATCGAACCATGGTCGACGAGCGTCCTAACCACTATGCCACCGACGCGCAACACCTGATATCTCGGTAGAGGAAAATGAATTAGCGAGAATATCGAAATAATTTTGACCGGAATTTGATACATTCTGCTTACTCAATATTATTCTGTATGAGACTGAAGACGAATTTCTGTCCTTACGGTGACTGAACTTCATTCAGACACGTTACCCTTTTTGTTCTCATCAACAAAGAATAGTTGTAAAATCAATAAAAAAATGTTTTATTTGCAGTATGGGATGAAAAAAAAGTGAAAAAATCTTAGGACAAACCCGCTTATGTAAAAATGGAGATCCACTAGAGCTGTGAAACGTCATATTCTGAAATTACGAATCTACTGCAGTAGTACTATGATGAATAAGTATAGTGCTTCACTGTATAAATCATCTGACAGTGCTCAAGATTAGTACCCATAAATGTTTTGTCCCCTCCCAGACATTTCACTTAGATGTAAGTAAATTCGGCTTGATTTTTCCATTGAAACTTAAGAGTGGTACTAATTTTGATTTGACACCAGTAACTAGTGTGATGTGTCTAGTCCTCTGATTGGTGTAGAGTGTATTCTATCAGTCAGTGGTATTAATTCCTGTAAATGGTGTTATGGTTAATATTAATTATTGCTTCTTAGTATTTCGAGTGGAATAGACGGCTCCAACAGCACATCTTCACTTTGTTCTATCTTCTACTGTCACAAAGGACACACCAAAAAGACCCATGATTCACTACAGTCTCTCATCTCTTCCTCATGCCATTTACTCCCTGCTATCTTTAGAGACACCAAACTTGTCGTTTCCTATCCGGATTCCACTTGAACGATGGCCTCGAATGAAACGTCATTTGACGGACTCCTCACGGTGTGCTCAATTCATCTCCATTTTCCCCTACATATTTGTTGAACAGTAGATTCTTGTCTGGTATTTTCCCCAGAGTTTCTTGCTGATAATTCAATCTGGCTGGCCATTCAATATTCAATATGAACCCAGAGAAGGTGGCAGTTGTTGATAAAATTTTACATTAGCCTGTCAGAAATGCTTTCCATGACACTGACTGAGTCATCTGTCATTAATGTTCAAAATCCGAATTTCGTTCGTGAGGCTTAATGCAGGAGAGTTCAAAACTGATTTCAGGGTGTTGAATGAGTACCTTGCCTCTCCAGTTCTCATTTTGAAATCTTCATCCGTTCCGCCTGCAGTTGAAACAACGCTACCTAGATGAGCGTCAGTGACACAGTGGTTAGGACGCTCGCCGACTATGCACATGGTCTGGGGTACCAAAAATACGGTGTGGAATCAAGCTGTAATCAAAAAAATATAAAAGTTACCTCTTTCAACATTTTATATGCATTGATAATGATTGGTTCTGGTTGTTACCGTTGTTGGTTTTCAATCGTCATCACCATCGTTTTCTCTATGTTCACTCGGAGTTCTGTCTTCCCTGACTGCTGATTCTTTCATTCTTAAGTCTTAAGAATGGGATTCATTCCTTTGAATGATTTTAGATTATTAAGGTGCAAATAATCTTGGCAAATCTGCTTCTTTGGGCGATGGTTGAAGAGCCTGCTTATCAAATTCTATTTTGAGTACCTTGAAAATCCCCATTGAGTCATATGAAAAATAGAAGACGTACAGCGAAGAGACTCTTTTCGGTGAATTCATTCACATAGCTGGACAATCCCATTTATATATAATTATTTGTGTTTGTACATGAGGTTTGTCAAGTTTAGATAATTGGTCAGGTAATATAAGAATGATCTAATATACAAACAAGGTTAATTAGACAACAACGAACTTCTGTATGGAGAGTTTGTTCAATCACTACACTTGCAATGGATGTAATCTGTCTTATTACCCGACAAGTAAATTCTACCTAATCTTTTTTCTCTTTTTTTCTGTCTCTTCATTAGTATTATTTTGTCTTCTCAATTGCAATATTTTACACTATCAACTTCCCTGTTCTCTACGCCCGTCTGATTTAATTTCTACACCTCACTACCGCTGTTTCTGACTTGACCAACGGTCAATTTCTAGTCATTTATGTTACGCTATCCAACTTACTTGCTCAATTTCAGTTATAATTTAAATTTAATTTAAATGGGATCATTCTCTACCCCACTTCTACTTAGTCTCTACCTGTAATTACCTCTGTTGCTATCCTGACTTAAGTTGAAACATTTTAGTCGATTATATTATGTCATCTCACTTACTAACTCAATCTTACTTTAGTTGTTGTCCAATTAACCTTGTTTGTATATTAGATCATTCTTATATTACCTGATCAATTATCTAAACTTGACAAACCTCATGTACACACACACATACAAATAGTTATACATAAATGGGATTGTACAGCTATGTGAATGAATTCGCCGAAAAGAGTCTCTTCACTGAACGGCTTCTCTTTTTCAAATTCTGGTTTCTATAATCCTTAGTGAATTTAATTTAATAGGTAATGAAGGGATACCATTTATAGAACTATTGAAAGTTAAAGAGTACTCAACAGTTTCTCTCTTGTTGTTTTGGAATTTTCAACAGTAGGCATCAGTATTTATCCTACCATAGGTGGAACCGAGAACCTTCGGTTTCTAAGGCGAGGTCGATGACGATACAGCCACTGGGATTGAACCCAAAAGCCAAGAAATTCTAACTTCTGTCAATTTGTGATATGTATATGTATGTATAATGCGACATTACTATGTGGGTATTTAAACCTTATGCTTAACGCAAGTAATAGTATAACAACAGAAGACAAGGGCCAGGCAACAGATCGTTTATTTACGAAATCAACACATATCTATAGATTTTCATGTACATTATTATAGATTATTTTTAGCAGAAAAACACAGTCTTCTGATTGGTTGTTTCTCACTGAAAGTTATTCTTTTATCTCTTTTTGTGGCTGTTTCTTGAGAATGTCAGATCATCTATATGCTAACTGTATCCGTCTACACAAAGTCTACTGTGGCTGGTTTTTGAATCAGTCTTTATTCTTATTTTTCTCACGACCGCTATTGGGGATGTAAACACTGACGTAAATTACTGTCTACCGATTTCGGCTAGCAGCTAGCCCTCATCACAATAGGAGAACGTTATTAGTATATTGGATAATATTGGGAAGAAAAAAAGTAACATTTTAAGGTCATTCTAGGGTTACTTTTATGAAGGGTACGACCTTGAATATTTTGTATAATCTGACTGTTCATTTTTAGTGAAGTTATTTTATTCAAACTGCTTCACTTTACAAATGATTAGCATACTGGTTACACTCGTATAAATGACATTCTTCCCGAAGGACAGCTTTAAACTGAATCTGTAGAAATTCCTGTGTGAGGAATGATAAATGACTTGATCCTGTAAGCTTTACATTACTGATTAGAAATTATCATTAAGTTTAGGCAAATAGTTAACAATGAGATTGTTCAGTATTACTAAGAAGTAAAAATGAGGTTTGATAGGTTTTTCGTTGGTTATTCATTCAAGTATTTACATATTGATTTATCTATAATGAGATTTATGCTTCTAGGATAGTCAGAACATTGATATAAGAATAAAGCATGTGCACAGTGGTGGTAGAGTGTAATTCCATTATGGGTAAATTTTTGTTTTGATTAAGTCTCACAGTGTTATACAGTAATGTTTACTGATGACAATGTTTCGAGCACAATTTATTACTGCTCATAATTATATCAAGGTAATCACACGACTTCCTAACTTCATTTATATAGTTGCATTGTTTTTCACTTGATTTTCGCTTGATTTGATTGGTAGTAGTATTTTCCATATTTCAGATATTAGTGATGAATCATTCCTATTGCATGTGTTTGGTGTAGACTCGATGAACAAGGATATGGATATGCCATATGGGGAAATATTGCTCTTAATACGTTTAATAATCCTCCTCCAAAAATATAGTGGAGATATGTGGATGACATTTTCACACAGTGTTAAAACAGAACATAGCTCAAGCTTCTTGACACATATAAACTCACTAGTAGAGGGAATGAAATTCACATTTGGATAGGAAAATGAACAAGGAGAATTAGCTATGTTAGATTGTAGAGTAAAACGAATAGAAGAAGGCAAACTACACACTAGTTGTTATGATAAACTAACCAACTCTAATAGATATTCAGAATTTAATTCATCTCATCCTTTAACTGTTAAGGCAGGCTTAGTTAAGTGTTTAACAAACCGAGCAGTAGCACTAAGTAGCACAAGAAAAGACCTAAATGATGGACTAAAACAAATAGAAGAGGCTTTGGTGTTAAATAACTATCCTTTAAAATTCATTAGGAAGATAAAAAAAGGCCAAAAGGAAAAGAAAAATAATTGTGAAACTAGTAGTAATAACATAAATAAGAGAGAATATAAGTCATCTACAGTTATACCATATAAAGAAGGGACATTTGAGAGCCTACGTAAGATTCTAAAT